TCCCTCACATTCTTCTGTGTTCCCCTTATTTCGTCATCACCTGCCCTATTGCGTACATGTGACTCAGAACCTATAAAACACTCTGCATGTGCTCTAAAGCAAGGGTCCTCAAACTTTTCCACCAGGGGGCCAGTTGAAAGCTGCCGGCGCTGGGCGCAAGCTGGAAGGGTGGTGCGCAGCACAAGACAGCGGATTCCTCCGTTAGAGATCGTTTTCTCCGAGCGAGCAAACTGCTGCCTCCCCGTGTGTGGGGCGAGGTGGGTGGCGGCACATGAGCAGAGGGTCCCGATGGGCATGGTGGGCTGGATCTGGCCCCTGGGCCGTAGTCTGAGGACCCATGCTCTAAAAGTTTGTAGTGGGTTTCAGCCTCTGCGTGGCAGTGCTGTTATAAGTTTAGGTTCTCTGTAGGGGGAACCTGAGTAATCTTTCAATAAACTGCTGAAATTCAAGGAGAAAGAAGTCCTCCCCACCGAATCTTGTGGCTATCAAGACGCCCTGGCATATGCTATTGGTGGGCAGTGGGGGGAAGCATTTTTGGAAAACACAGGGTCAAAAGCACTGTCATAATCAGATGGTCAGGATGAAGGTACGGTAAAGGCACAGAGATTCTGCAATAGAACCGTCATTTGCATGCATATGGGCCATAAGAGCTAAACATGCACTGGCATTTTACAAAACATGGCGGGTTTTTGCTCAGACACTCTAAAGCTTATATCGCATCCTCAGGCTGACAGGTCTGGTCCTCCTTTCCTTTATCCACACAACACGGCCAGGTAAGGGGGTTTGGCGGAGAGCATGGAGAACTCAGTTACAATCTCCATGCCCAAGGCCAAAGTCCAACCCCAGCAACCTGCTGACCTTTTAAACCCTCCATCCACTTCTTCAAAGACTATTCCAAAACCCCTATCATTGAATAGGAAGGAAGAATACGATACAGCCAGGAAGGATATAGCCAGGTTGGAGTCCGTGCAGCGAAGGGCCACAAGGTTGGTGGCCAGTTTGCAGGGGATGCCGTATGAGGCGAGACTGAGGGAACTGGGTCTCTTCAGCCTGGAGAAGAGGAGACTCAGAGGGGATCTGTTGGTGACATACAGGTGTGTGAGGGGGCATCACACGGAGGTGGGCAGAGACCTGTTCTCCCCTGCAGAGGAAGGCAGGACGCGCTCCAACGGAGCAAAGCTTAGGGAACCCAGGTTCCATTTGGATGCCAGGAAGCACTTCCTGCCAGTCAGGACCCCGAGGGTGTGGAATGGGCTTCCCCGGGAGGTGGCTGAGGTCCCATCGGTGAGAGTGCTCAAGGATAGGCTGGACATGCACGTGGTGGGCATGTCATGAGCGGAGCCGGCTAGAGCCAGGGGTCAGACTAGATGGCCCGGGAGAACCCTTCTGACTCGTGCTCTATGTTTCTATGAATACTTTTATTAGGCCCAGGCAAAGATCACATTTATTTATTATGGTGGGGAAGGTCTACCCAGCTGGACTTCCACAGCTTTATTGGATCGGTGCTCCAGTTCATGCAGTTGCTCCTAGTGGACAGGCAGAGGTGAACTCACTGTACTTTATTGTAAGCCGTCCGGAGACATTTGTAGGGGATGGGATAGAAAAACTTTTAGTAAATAAAGAAACTGCAATAAACAAACTACAAATCACAGCCCACGTACAGACACTTTTATAACTGCTAGTACCATACACCAATACAGAGTGTTAAGTTTCCAGATAATGTTAGTACAATGGCATCTTGATGTCTTTAGGCATGACATAAAGTTCTAAACTGATCAGAAATGCTGGTAACAATGCTATGGAAAACATTACTGATTGCTTTACAATAAATTCCTGAGGGTTCAGGTCGGCCTGTGTGTCTGCTTAAACATGCACATGTGACTGATTAAGGAACCTTCAAGAAAACTGGTCTGACCACTACACTGCACAGGTGTTTGCCTCAGTGGACCTAGATGATTAAATGGGTCCATTCAGAAACAAATGAATGTAGTTTTCTCAGTGGTTTGAACACTGGTATTTCCCCACTGACAGTATTAGCCTCCAGCAGCTTCTCAGTCCAGCTAAGAATTCCATCTTCTTAAGGCAACAGCAATGCTAAACAGTGACCTGGCTTGGGATTCTGCTGCTTTCTGAGAAAGGGGTGCAGGTTTGATTTTTATAACACAAAGGCACATAGAAGCAGCCTTTTTCTACCAGGATTTACCTGAATTTTCCCAACACAGACAAGGGTCTGGCGAGCCATGGGCACTGGCTGACACGATGCTAACTGAGGGCTGTGTACAAGTGCATAATACGCATTCTGTGCCCGTAAATGTTGAGTCCTGCAACCAAGATGGGCTGGTGCACAGAAAGATTATTATTATTATTATTATTATTATTATTATTATAACATTTCTATGCCGCCCCTTGCCGAAACCTCGGGGCGGCTTACAACATGATAAAATACATTGAAATACAATAGTACATAATAAATTACCATTAAATATAAAAATACAAAAAATACATTGATTTACAAATACAAAATTAAAATTATCAGTATAAAATAAAAATATAGGATGAGAAAGAGAAGGAAGAAGAAGTTGCCCAGGCCAGATCATATGTTTTAACAATTGAAATGATGTTTAAATAAAAAGGTCTTTACCTGGCGCCAAAAAACCAGTAACGACGGTGCCAGGCGGACCTCTTTGGGGAGTGAATTCCATAGGTTGGGCGCCACCGCAGAGAAAGCCCTCCTCCGAGTACTTACCCTCCTAATTTCCTTCACGGAGGGTTCCCGGAGAAGGGACTCTCCCGCAGATCTCAAAGGGCGGTCGGGCATATACGGACGTAAGCGCTCATTCAGGTAGCCCGGACCCAAGCCGTTTAGGGCTTTGTAGGTCATAATCAACACCTTGAATTGGGCCCGGGCTTCAATGGGAAGCCAGTGAAGCTGACGGAGGACTGGAGTCATGTGAGCATAACGCCCCGTCCCCGTCAGCAACCTGGCAGCTCTATTTTGCACCAATTGAAGTGTTCCGACTGTCTTCAGGGGAAGCCCCACGTAAAGCGCGTTACAGAAGTCTAGGCGGGAAGTCACCAGCGTGTGTGTCACCGTCGCCAGGCAGTCGTACTCCAGGTAGGGGCGCAGCTGATTAATCAGCCGAAACTGAAGGAAGGCATTTCTCGCCACCGCTGTCACCTGAGCTTCCAAAGAAAGCTCCGGGTCGAGGAGTACTCCTAAGCTGCGGACCTTATCCCTAAGAGGGAGTGTTGCACCATTCAGGACCAGGTCAAATCCACCCTCTCCGAAACCCGATCCGCCAACCAACAGGACCTCCGTCTTGTCTGGGTTGAGTTTCAGTTTATTGGCCCTCATCCATTCCCTTACCTCAGCCAAGCACCGGTTCAGCACAGCCACTGCCTCACCTGGATTAGTGGAGAACGAGAGGTAAAGCTGGGTATCATCAGCGTATTGATGATTCCGCAGCCCACACCTCCTGATGACCTCTCCCAGCGGTTTCATATAGATGTTAAATAGCAGATGCTAGCTCATTTTGCATAACTGGATTCTGCTTCTTCTAGTGATGAAGAGGAAAGTTGTAGAAGGCAGAGAAATGTTTGCTCTCCTGTGGGCAGAATTCTCATTCAACTCTTTCTAGACTTTTCTTAAGGACTAGAACACGGAACCACTAATTGGTTCAAAATTGAGAAAGGAGTTCATTCAGCAAGGCTGTATACTGTCGCCCTGCCTATTTAACTTACATGCAGAGCACATCATGAGAAAGGCGGGGCTGGATGAATCACAAGCTGGAATTAAGATTGTGGGAGAAATATCAACAACCTCAGATATGCAGATGATACCACTCTCATGGCAGAACGTGAAGAGGAACTAAAGAGCCTCTTGATGCGGGTGAAGGAGGAGAGTGCAAAAGTTGGCTTGAAACTCAACATTAAGAAAACTACGATCATGGCATCTGGTCCTCTCACTTCCTGGCAAAGAGATGGGGAAGAAATGGAGGTAGTGACAGATTTTATTTTCCTGGGCTCCAAGATCACTGCAGACAGAGACTGCAGCCAAGAAATTAAAAGACGCTTGCTCCTGGGGAGGAAAGCTAAGGCAAATCTAGACAGCGTACTAAAAAGCAGAGACATCGCCCTGCCAACACTAGTGCGTATAGTCAAGGCGATGGTTTTCCCAGTTGCAATGCATGGCTGTGAAAGTTGGAACATAAGGAAGGCTGAGCGCCGAAGGATTGAGGACTTTGAATTGTGATGCTGGAGGAGACTCCTGCGAGTCCCTTGGACCGCAAGGCGATCAAACTGGTCAGTCCTAGAGGAGATCAACCCCGACTGCTCTTTAGAAGGCCAGATCCTGAGATGAAACTCAAATACTTTGGCCACCTAATGAGAAGGAAGGACCCCCTGGAGAAGAGCCTAATGCTGGGAACAATAGATGGCAAAAGAAGGAGGGGACGGCAGAGGATGAGGTGGCTGGATGGGGTCACTGGGGTGGTGGGTGTGGGCTTGGGTGGACTCCGAGGGATGGTGGAGAATGGGAGATCCTAGAGGAGTGTTGTCCATGGGGTCGGACACGACTTCGCGACTAACAACAAGAAGAACCATGCAGCGGGATGTAAAAGCTGCAATGCATGGCGGCATGCAAGATTCTGCGCCCAACACCGATTGCTACGGAGTTTGCACGAGCGGCGGCCATCGCCGTCACGAAGAAGGGAAAATCCAAGGTCGGGGCGCTCGGACGTTGGTCCCGCCGCAGCACCACCAGGCCCCGCCCACCCGCGCGCGCAATTCCCCCTCCCGCCAACAGGGGCCGCTGCCGCTGTCCGGACGGAGCGGCGACTCCCCCCCCCCCCCCGGCAAGGCCGCGCCCACTGCCCGGGCCGCGAGCGGAGGACCAGCGAAAGGGCGCGCGGGGCCGGCGTCACGTGGCCCGCCTTCCCGTCTCTCGCGGGCGACGGTGGGAGCCACGTGATCCCTTCCGAGGTGAAGCGGAAGCGCAGCGCGTTTCCGCTTCCGCCTGGCTGGGCCGAGGGAAGGCGGAGGAGGGAGCGGAGGGTCGCCGCCGTTCTCGTCGTCGCAGCCCCGGCGCGCCCCAGGTGGGTCCCCGGCGGGCGGCGGGGCGGCGTGCGCGGGCGGCCCTCGCTGCGCCCGGGGAGAGGGCAGCCTGCTTTGGGGCCAGCGGGGCGTCGCCTCTCCGGCTCCGGACCGCGGAGGGGCTTCGTGTGAACGGGAAGGGGCGCCGGGGCGGCGCGGCGCGGCCCTGCCCGGGAGGCCCCGGGAGCGCCTCCCACCGGGGACGGGCGGACGGGGCCCCTGCTGGGTGAGTTGCAGCCCGGGGGACCGAGCGGGCCCCGTTCCCGTTCCCGCGGGCGAGCAGCGCGTCGGCGAAACCGGCGACACGCCCCCTTCCTCTGGTGGGCGCGGAGGGTCCCGTTCCCTGGCGGGCTCGCTGCAAGGAGGAGCGAGGGAAGGCCGCCCCTGCCCCGGTGCGCTCTAGCGGAGCGCGCCAGGTCGGTCTGCGGGCCGGGATGGGCGAGATCCGCTGGCAAAGCCCCCGTCCTGTGGTGCAAGCTCCTTCGCCCTGAAGGGGTTCCGGGCATCCTTGCTGACTCCTCGAAACGTAGGCCGGTGATGGCATTCTGAGGGAATGAGGAAAGATACCTGGGGATTCTCTGATGCAGCTGACAGGGAGTGAGAAATGCCAGAGCACCATCTGCCTGGGGAACATACGCCTCGGTCTACTTTCAGCTCTGAGTTTTGGGCAGCGTCCCAAGGGGAATGCCTGCCCATTATTCTGGGAGGAGATCAAGGAGAAAATTACTCATGGAGCATTCTCTGAGTTTAGTCAAACAGCACACGCACTTGTGTACCAAATGTTGGAAGATTAGGAGACGCAGCTAGATAAAAAAGTAAGTGGTTATATGCACTGTGTGAACTTCTGCTGGAAGCATCTGCCTGTTGAGGGGAGTTATTAAAAGAACTTGGCTTAGATACCCTGCTCTTAACTATGTTTAGCTCATCCTAAGTTCTGCTGCTTTAAACTTTTTTTGTACATTTTCACCATTTTTAATACCAGTATATTCTTATTATGTCTTATCATTGGATCTGGGAAAGGAGCAAATAGGCATTTTAAATAATGAAATACTTTTTAAAATGTGGTCTATGAAAGGAGCATGCCTAGGATTATAGTCATATAGAAATTCTTAATGGTGATTTTCTACGGAGCATCAAAAGGCCAGGGATCTCCTGTGCAGCCCGAAGAAGTCACACAAAGCTACCCAGAGGGTTTAGAAAACAGAAGCATCGTTATCTGTGCACGTTGGGTTCACACTTTTGTTTCTCTGTGTGGTTGGCATTCTTGTCTATGCTCTTGTCTGTCCCAGGTCACCTGTGGGGGACCCATCTAGAGCCCTGCCCACCACAGCATTTGTGGGAAGGGCAGAATTGGGGAGGCTGTTGATGTATGTGGCTCTGCGTGGAAGGACATGGCCAAAACAGATGGGTAGCTTCACTCACTCTACTTCCAGGGAGAACGTAAAGGAAGAAGGGGGCATCTGTGAGAGGCCACTGGAGCAAAGCAACTGGAGGATTTCATGTGTGAGCAGATTTGAATTTAGTAGGTGGAACTGATAGCTGGATGCTATTCTAGAAACCTGTTCCTAGAATCCCCTTGCAAAACATTTTTGGGAAACTCAGTTAGCCGAAGATTTGTAGCATTTGTCAAGATGTCAGACTTGAACGCAAACTCCAGTAGGAGTTCCCTGTCCGGTTCTACCCTCCTCCAAATTCCTAGGGACCATTGTGGTTAAATAGTTGTGCTGGGGCATTTCCTTATTCCTTCTCTGAGGCCGTGGTGTCATCATAGTTCAATAGCTCACAACTTTGTCCATTCTGCCAGGCTGTTTCCGCCTATCTCACATTGCTTTGTAAGGGACATTTAACGAGGCATTTAAGAGCTGAAGCTGTCCTCCCTTTTCAGATGCTGGTTGATAAGAAATGTCATGTAACTGTGTGGCCAAAGCAGGTGAAGTGACTGCCCACACTGAAAAAGTTTAGGCAATTTTGCCTTGTGGAAAGGCAGGTGGGATTTGGCAGCTAGGCTGTTAGTGAATGACAGAAGGAAAAATGCGCATTAAAGAAGCAGGGCGAGTCAGAAGGGGCCTCCCCTGCCATCTAGTCTGACCCCCCTCCCCCGTCCCGCTCCAGCCAGCTCAGCTCAGCTCAGCTCATGACATGTCCACCATGCACATTATGTTTAGAAATTTTGCGGTGCTGAAAGAACTGCGAGGAAGAAATAAAGGCATCAGCTGTTGGTATTTCAGTTAGTCCGGCTGATTCATACTGTTGCATCGTGCAGACGAGATCGTGATAAAATAGCTCTGTGTTGATGGTGGACTTGCCCCTTTCTCGATTGGTCCTTCTGATGCTTTGCAGCAACCTTCTCCAGATCTTCTGGACTTCTAAGCAAGCATAGGAGATAGCACTTGTAATCCAAAACACCTGGAAGCGGACTCCGCTTGTTTGATTACTATGTTAATAGATCTTTTTAATGTCAGGAAAAGCTCATTAAAGTGGGGTTCCCTTGTGAAGGGGGAAGGCCTGTCCAGAAGCCTTGTTCTTCCGACAGCTGCACTGTGATGACCTGGTTCACGGGGGGTGGGGGGCGTTCTGGTTCCACCATGTCTTGCGGCGCCGCTGCTTCATTAGCACAGAGTGGATCACTACACTGATACTGAGCCATGAAAAGCCATCTAAAGTGTGGGTCCCTCTAGGCCTTTTCTTTGTCGTCTCTGGCAAAGCAGAAATGCCTGTGGCACCTTTTGGAGAATCTAGCTTTTTTGTTAGTCCCGTAGTCCAAAATCGCACTTACCCATATGCTCTGGCCAAGAAAAAGGAGCTGTCGGATAACTGACTGGACCAGCAAACCAGGTCACACCAGAGCAAGGTATGTGGTAAGACCACCAGGTACCCCAGGGAACCATCTTACTTTGTCCTTGCACACATTTGGTCTGGCCTCTGCCCTACTCAGTTTCTTCCAAGAATTCGCATCCCGTGCACAAAATACAGTGTTGTGACAGAGCTGAGGGGCCAGGTGCATTGAGGATACTCCTAGTCATCCGCCTGAGCTGTACTTTCAGCTTCTAGACGTCTACCGGTGGGTGAGGCTGTGCTGCTGGTATCAGACCCTTTGCATCGCTTTCCTGGGCATGGCTGCGCCCATCCTAGCCTTAGTCATCAGCTGGTTAAAGGTCCTCCGGCTCTGCTCTCCCGTTGGTGGCGTGGGCGTGGCACCTCACAGAAGCAGGCCGGCAAGTGACGATTACATCAACTCGGATCTGTTTTTAGCCTGCATGCTGTTGTGTGGGGTTCGGAGGAAGGACCTATTCTGGGATTCTCTCCTTTCTGCATCAATGAATTCCATATACTCCCTGCTTCTTCAGTGTAAGATTGTATATGAAGCCAGATTGTATATGATAGTTATTCCTGCACGCTCTGAAATACGGAGTAGGGCGAGTGACTCTTTCTGCCCCCAACATCCTTTATACGTGCAAAGGTCTGTGCAGTTCAAGTGTGAACAAACCTTGCAGTGAGACCCAAAGGGGTAAAGCTTTGTAGGGTTTCCTGGGGACTCATAAGCACCTAAAGGTGGGGCTCGGTTGCCACTGCCCCCCGTTAAACCGTTCCCCGGCCAAAGTTGGAAGAGTGTTCTGCTGCTCTTGGCTGTGCCAGGGGACCCTGGAGCCCGCCGGCTGCCCCATGTCCCTTCCCCTGTGCTATTGCAGCATCCGGTTGATTGCGTGGGAATTGGCTAGCGGAAGGGCAGCAGGGCAAATGCAAGCCCAAGCCCAGAGCGCCCTGTCCTGAAGTGTGAGCTGCTGCCCTCAATCCTGGCGGAAAGGTTAGCATGGTCTGGATATCATATACTCATGCGAGTGGTGAAGATGCGCTCCAGCTGGCGCTTTGCACGCATTACCATCTTCAGTGCTGGTGCTGTTTGCCCTTCTTTTTAGGAGGGCTGTGGCTGACAATCCTCAGATCACAGTTTGGAGGACATAGAAACATAGAGAGTCAGAAGGGGCCTCCCAGGCCATCTAGTCTGACCTCTTGCAATAGCCGGCTCCGCTCACGACATGCCCACCATGACACACCTGAGCCCACGAAAAGTTGCACCTGTTCTGTTCAGGAACGGCCAGTTCAGCGTCAGTATCGGAGCACAAAATGAACTTTAGAGTGTGTGTGCCGGCGCCGAAGGCTCTGGACTTAACTGCTCTTCTTCTTTTTTAACTTTACAGGAAAATGTCTGACGACTTCTCGGTGAGTTCTCCAATCTGACAGCTTTCTAAATTGCACCCAGTTCGTGATAAGTGGTGGAAGCAGTTGAGATATTTGAACACATGGTCTTATGTGGTTCTTAGTGAGAGACTTAAAATCTCCGAACTGCATTTGCATAGGGAAAATGTCCAGCTGTTGCTTTACATAACAGACCTTTGAATGTTAGGGTTGAAATGCTTCATTTGGTAATGCGATTAATGCCCCCCATATGCATCAATGCGAGGGTCCCCGAGGTTTTGGGCCCATGGATGATCTGGGAATGTGAGAAACGCGTGTGGGCACTGCCACGTCAACGGCTTGCTAACACACGACACGTTCCTCAGAGGCCTGGGAGCTCCTTGGCAGAGAAATTAAAAGGCCCACTGAGTTTGCCAAAGACTGTCTGGACCTGGCGTTCAGAGGGGCTCAGCTGGCCCCGATGGGGGGATGAGAATGTGGCAGTGGCGAGAAAGGAAGAGTCCACGCAGGTGGGTGCTGCAGGGGCGGTTCCTCGTGCGTCCTCTCACAGCTCTTCCGTCTTCCCAGCTGGCAGACGCTCTACCAGAAAGTTCCCCCGGCAAGACATCGGGAGTGGGCAGCACGAAACCGCAGCAGCCCAGCCAGCCCCCACAAGCCTGGCCGGCCTCCAATCCCTGGAGCAGCACCCCCAGCGCTCCCCCCACAGCTCCGTCCGGATTGCCTCCGAGCACGTCCACGTCCAACGTGCCCTTTGGACCCCCACCCTCCGGAATGTATCCTTCCTTGCCCCCCGGAGCACCTGTCCCTTTTCCTCCTCCAGGCTCTGCTTGTCCCCCCGGTGCGCCCTATCCGCCTCCGGGCCCCGCCCCGCCGGGCCAGTACCCTCCCCCCAGCATGCCCTTCCCGGAGCTCCCGAGGCCCTATGGGGGCCCGACAGAGCCAGCTGCCCCTCCTGCTGCCGTTGGACCGTGGGGATCCATGCCTGGCGGCGGCTGGGGGCCCGCCGTCAGCGGCCAGTACCCTGCTCCTAGTGTGCCATACCCACCCCCGGGGCCATACTCCACCCCCACCCAAACCCCCGGAGCTGCTCCCACAGTGCCGTGGGGTGCCGTCCCCCCAGGCACGTGGGGACCTTCGCCGCCTGCCCAGTTTCCTCCGCCGGCAGGGTCCTACCCGGCGCCAGGACTGTACCCAACGCCGCCCAACCCCTACCAAGTGCCGCCCGCGCCGACTGGAGCCCCGTCCATGCCTGGCGGCCCTCACGTGAGTATCCCAGCCTCCCTCTGGCAGCCGGTGGGCGAGGGTGCCCCGGCCAGCTCCACTCTGGAACGGTCAGTGGCCGAGGGGCCTGGGAGGGAGCCAGCTGCGGGCAGCGGCTTTGCGGCCGCGTGGACAGAGCTCCGGACTCGAACAGACTCCGGTCCAATCTGGCTTGGCATTTCTTGCAGGCAGCCAAGAGCAGCAGAGATGCTCTTGGAACACCTTCCAAGGACTGCCTGGCGTGGCAGTTGGACTGCTGGGCTAGGACTCGGGGGCAGGTTCGGTTCCGAGTCAGCCATGAAGCTGACTAGGTGGCCTTGGGCTCGGACTGACTCTGCCTAACCTACCGCACAGGGTTGTTGTGAGGCAAAAATGGAGAGGAGGGTTGCATAAGCAGTCCTGGGTTCTTTGCAGGGAGGATGTTGGGAGAGATACGCAACCCACCTTCCTGGATCTGGCACCGCCTGGGGGTGCGCCAAATGCTGAGGAGCTTGCGCAGGTGGCGCTGCCGTGCTCCTCTCGCTTGCGGGGCCCTGGGGCAGCTGGTTTGCCATCACGCGAACGGAGCACTGGACTGGATGGACCCCTAGTCTGATTCAGCGGGGCTTTCCTTACGGTCTGGCGTCTTGCAAAGGATTTTAGGGTTCTAGACGTCTCCGCAGGAAGCTTTTCCACATTGCTCCAGGGAGCCCCAGTCTGTGTGGCAAAGCATTTCGGGATGTGTTCAGGAGCATGCATCAAATTCGTGAGTCAGCCTTGCCCAACCTGCTCGAGCTGGGGGGCAAGACCCAGCTTTCCTGAGCTGAGCGGCATTGGTGACGCACACAAATGGGGTGTCAGGCTGTGGAAGCGTCTTGGGGGCTGTTCCACAAGCAGTGTGGGCCCCACGGAGCACTTCCACAGCTGCAGGGGAAAGGGGGCTTCCCTTGGAAGCCGGCTGGGCATCACTGATCTTCTCCCCGAGAAGAAACATCCAGAAAACATTTGGAAAACAGCTCGGATGAGCCCATCAGAGTTTGGTGTGAGCAAGCAGGCCTTGGAACTTGCCAAGACCTCACGTTCCGACATTCCAAACTCCATGATTCTCACCTCTGAAACGGCTAGGTGGAAATTCACGTCTGGGGCAGACGATTCCAAATCAGTCCAAGCTAAGATGCATGTTCATGCAAGACTCGGAGAGACTGAGTTCAAGAAGAGCCTGTTTCCGGTGGGAAGTCCTTCCCTCTGCCCTTTTCTTTGCCACAGAGTCCCGCAGAGTACAGGGGGAAGCCTCTCACCCCGTGGCCTAGGAGCGGAAGCTCAGTGGGAGGAAATGTTTCTAAGCTGGCTGATTTTGCCAGCCTTTGGTGTTGGTATTCACTGCCTTAGAAATAAATGAGGGCTTCTTAAAAATTGAGCAGACAGTGCAGGGAAGGGGTGTGCTGTTGAGGGTTGCTAGTTCAGGGTCTGAGGGCTGCAGATGTTCTGACAATCATGCTGTTCATGGATGCATGAGAGTCAGGTTTCTGGCCATGATGTCTGAGGAGAAAGCTTGCTGGTCCGGGCTAAGCGCATCCAAGCTGAGGCAGGAGACACATGCATTTATGTAGACCACAAGACCCGTTTGTTGGTCTCAGCTCCAAAGGCAGGGCACTTACACCTTCGAACAAATTTGATTTGTTTCAGCCAGTAGAAACGGCACCTGGGGCAGCTTACAGTCCCAAAGAAAACTTTGCTAAAACGATACAGCAGTGGGATTTGACCTCTTCCGTTTTGTTTCCACAGCCCTACCGCTGAACTCATGGCCATCTGAGGAAGACTGCCCCCCCCACCTGCTATTGACAAAAAAAAAAAAAAGAAAAGAAAAAAAAATTGTTTTCAGTAAGCTTTTGGAGTCGAGGAGTGCGCTCACCTTCACGCCTGCCCGAGGTGTGTGAGCGCACCTCTGCGCAAGCAGGTGCAGACGTGACCGTTTTCTTTGTTGAGATGAATTAGGATAAGCGGCCCCAGCGCCACCTCTCTGGTCCTTGCTTGAGTGAGGATCTCTGCTTGGAACAGGCGGGGGTTGCCCAGGGAGCAAGGATACTCTGGAGCACCAGCGATCATTGCAATCCAGGATCATGGCCGTGTCTGTTTTTAAATGCTGGACTCCCAGGGCTGGCCAGACTGACAGCCCGTCCCCCTTGTCTGTGTGTTCGGGTTATTCAAGTCATTTCAATAAACGCGATGTGCTGTAGAGAAATTCTTGAACAAGCGGGCTCGGTGCACTACCGTCATTCCTCCCATTGCAGAGAAGCCATGCATGTCCAGCCGGGGGCAACGCTCAGCATCCAGTTTGGGGAGACAGGGCTCTTGACATTTACTCGGTGATCGTTGTATAAGTCAATTCACGTGTCCAGGCGGTTGGAATAGACCGCCCTGGAACAGAGAGCAGCTTTTCTCCCTCATTTTCATGAGCCGTCTCGGGAGAAAAGCACACGTTAAATCGGACTGCTTTTAACCCCAAAGCTACCTGAATTTCAGTTTCACAGGTGAGCGTCCCGATCGCCTGACTTCTGCAAACTGAAGTCTGAATTGTGCGTGCTTTGCAAGGGCGGGGGCAGGAGTAGGGCCGGAGGCCATCCTTTTTCGGCCATGATGGTGGGGCCTTTGAACCACACGTTACTGTGATTCTTACTTTGAACCTGTGCGCCATTCCGCCCTGCCCCACGAAGTGCAATTGGACCCCTTCACTTGGTTAGGCTTCCTGTCCCACAGATTGGATGGTGGGCTGTAATCTCGGATTAACCAGGACGGTCCGTTGTCGCTGGGGCCACCGCCCCCTGTGCTTGTTCTCAGTTCATCTCGGCGCACCTGATAAAGTGTGTGTCCTGCCTTGCATGTCCCTCTTTCTTCCCTTTGGCTTTTGAAGAGGTTGCCCCTGTGTGGAGTCTCTGCAGCGAGCCATTTGAGGCAACGTGGCTTTCCTTGTTGGGATTAGCAGAGCTTTTCATCAGGAAGCAAGCTTCCAGCAAGTCCACCCTTGAGTAGCCCAAACCGGTAAGAACTGTCTGGTTGGCAGGCGCCCATAAATTTGCATCTGGTCGCTTGGGGACCGACAGGGTGGGTGTCCCACCAGCACGACGGGGCATGGCGAGGAAAGAGGAGGGTGCTCGAGGCAGGGGGTCTCTTCCAACAGCCCCCACGCCAGTTGGCAGCCCTTCCTTTTTATGGGTCCCGTGCAGTTTACGGCACTTCCCTCAAAAGGAGGGTCTGCTCCCGCAAGGGCATTGCATCTTCCCGGTGTTTTCAAAGCACTGTAACTTGTACCTGGGAAAATGTGATTTGTTCCCCAGAAAGTGATTGCAGGGAAACGCTGCTGTGAAGGGGATGCAGGCAACAATGAGAAGTCTTTCCCATCTCCAGTTTGGGAAGCTGGAGGCCCAAACCCTGAAATGAAGTCCCAGTATCTTTCAAACCTCCTCTCTCCTTCCCCCAAACTCTTTGGAGGCTGTGCACTCTTCACATGTTCTGGAGTGCCCCCTTCACCTTGCATGCATGTTTGCAGGGTGGTTGGTGTCTCTCCCGAACTCCTGCGTCCATTTGGGATGGCCGGCTGGTCATGGTTCCCATGAAAAATCACCTTACTGTAAGGTACTAAAGCTCAAATATAGTTTTGGTATGTGTTGCCTCTGGAAAGGCCCTGAGAATAATCACTGTCAGAACGCCACTCTAAATCGGTGTGGTTCTGCAGCCGTTTGCCATGTTGGATTGCTCCCATCAGGAGAAATGTTGGATTACTCCCATCAGGATGATCTATTAGGCAAATTTGGGTTGATGCGAAAGCCTGCAGGCTCCCTAGAAGGGTGACGTGAAGGATGAAGTTACCCCTCCTACAGATCAGCCCAATTCCCTTGTGCCTTGTGTATCAACACTGCATTCTAGGAGCTCCTGGAAATGAATTGTTGGAACTTGGTAGAGTTTTTACAAGGCCTGTTTGCAAAGCCTGATGCTCACAGAAGCAATTTGTCTTGGTGTCATCTCTGGGGGACAGTCTGTTCCGGGGTTCCTGAGTGTTGGGACACTCCTGGGCAAGACAGCCTGTGGGTTTGGCTACTGGCGCAACCTTGTCTGTGTCTACTCAGAAGTAATCCCACTGAGTTCAGCATGACTTTTACTCGAGGGTAGGTGGGCGTAGGACTGCAGAGTTGGGCCCACAATGTAGACGGGAGGCAAAAGGCCCCCCCCCCCGCCCCCCGAGGCGAGCGCTGGACCAGAGGGGCCTCTCCTTGATTAACGTGCTCCAATTAAGCACAGGCAGCACACAGACTCCGTGCAGGCGGTTGCGTACCAATTAACCTCCTGTGCTCGGGCAACCCGACTTTTGTGCCAAGAAAATCTGACTCCCATAAAGCGTATGAACCCTGCAGATTTGCACACGCTCGACTGCGTAAGTGTGATGCGCTTGCATAGGAAGGGGCCACAGCCCATCCCCGGCCCCCACCCAGCGGGCCTTTTCCGTGGCCACTTTGGAAATCCCAAGGGGGCACTCCTCTTTCACATCGGCTGAGATTGTGTGGCCAATTCCAGGGTGCGCCTCTTCTTTCCATGGAGAGGTTGCATAAGCACCATCACTGCCTACTTGGAAAGACGTTGGCCAGCGCAGATACTGGTCTCACCTTTTTGCTGCTGGGCGTTCTTGAGAGAAGCAGTTCTGTCTCTGTTCTGGATGCACAGAAGGTGGCATTAGGGCAAAATACCTGTAGAGCCAATGTTTCGATGAAAAGCCAGTTAAAAGCGCCCTGCTTGATCATCCCCATCACTCCTTGTTTAATGAGAAGCGCTTAAATGCTGACACCCCTTCCTAGGATTATGTTTCCCCTCGCCATGGAAGGCATTCCTTCAGAAGCAATTGTTGTTTAATGCTGTGTAGTAAAACTTAATGATTCTGTCCCAAGTGTGAGCAATTTTTTTGGGCCTGATGCTTGTTACGCAATGGAAACTGTATTGTTCCTATGGTGTTCTTTGTGAGTTAAAAACTGCTGAAAAGTTTGGGGTGGTTCTTTGGCTTGTGCTTCTGGGATGGATATTTAACTGCATTTGTTTACAATATGGAATTATTAAGCAATCACACTTCTGAAGTATAGACCGTATCACCTGCTGCTGTATTTTTTTTTTCTTTTTAGATGACAAATATTTGCTGTATGATGTTAGTGAAGAGGCTTTAAATACAGGATCTGATATTTTTTTGAAAATGCTGTCACTTTTTGTATACAATTAGACATTAAACGTATTTTCAAGATGACTCTTGTTCTGCGTACTTGTAAAGCTTACCTTTTACGGGTCACACAGTGAGAAAAGGAGCATCAGGAGTTGTTCCCTGTACTGAAGACATGTAGTAGGTTTTTTCAATATCCTTTTAACTCTCATTGCTTCCCCCGAGGAATTTGGGAATTGTCATCTTGGCGTGGTGCTAAGAATGCTACGGCGGCCCGGCGTCTACTCACTGGGAGGGACAGCCAGCGGCACACAGCGAGAGTCTGAAAAACCGTTTAGTGCCGCCACTTGGCAGTCGTAACGCTTCCCAAGATGCCTTGGATAAGTGAGCCCATTTTATTGCTGGGAGGGGGGCCCGTCGGAGCTGCCTTCTCCGATTTGTGGTGGTCAGAGAGCAGAAAGTCTCCTGCCTTTCCCACGCAGCCGCCATCTTTCTAAAAGCCTCAGCTGATGTCACTGGCGGTCTTCTCAACTCTGGGCTCCACGACCTACAGGGAGACCTCTCCCAGCTCCATACAGCCCAGATGCTCCAACATCGGAGGCCTTCTTCTGAGTGACCCCGCTTGAAAAGCTTGGCTGGGGTCTTTGGCAGCCACTCCCCCCATTCATGGAGTGATCTCCCCGTTGATGCCCACCGGGTGCCCACCCGCTCCTTTTGGTGCCAGGTTAAGACTGTCGTTCAGGCCAAGGCACTTAAGCCGCTCTGGAAGTGCTTTTGGAGGTCTGTCAGCCTGGTTGCGAGAACTCGGCTCCTCTGCAGGCATCCAGCCGGGGAGCGCCAGCAGAGAGCGCCAGTCCTAATGGCAGAATTGTGGGCCACAAGCCAGCACGCCTGGGGTACCGTGGCTGAGAGCGTCTGGGGTCCCTTGGGAAGACTCACACAACAGCTTCTGCCTAGCTGGATGCGAGGCGGCAAGAGAAAGTCGCCACTTCACATGGCCTCGCAAGCAGAACTCCCGATCCAGCAAGTGCATTCTTGAATGCACAACACAGAGCCTTCCGAGGTGGTCCTGCTCGGAGACGTGGTGGCTGCCCGCCAGAGCCCTGGAGAGGGCGCGCGACCGCTGAAGTCCATCCTTCGGTTCACCTTGGCCACATCTGCATCTTTGGGGCCCATTTAAACGCCCTGCTCTTTCTCTACTGCTGTGCATACAAGGTGCCCTCCCCAAGGAAGGGTGCCCGGGAATTTAGCTGTTTTATTTTGAAAGAAGTTCCGCCACCTTCGTTCGGTATCCTCTCTGACGGTGGCTTAACTTTTGGAAGTTGCGCCGTTCTGCACTCCCATAACACAACAAGCAAGCCTGTGCGGTTGCCATTGTCTGCCTGATAAGTAATCAGATGGTTTCTCCTTTATCATGGTTTCCATCCTCCCTGCCTCTCTCTCTCAGTGTTGCTAAGTGTCCCATCAGCCACTGCGCCTGCAGCTCAGTCCCAAGGTGCATCACTCCGTGCCTGTGTCACCTGCCTCCTCCTCGGCCCACACATGGAGGCTGGATGGCTGGAGCAGCTCCCACAGTTACTGCTCTTTCCAGGGGACTCTGGTAGCTGCATGCCAGGACCATGGAAACCATGATCCTGGGTTCAGACAACACAGCAGACCGACCATGGTAAAAAAGAAAAACACCACCATGGCTTGCCCTGTTGTTTGAACCCAACCTAACATACATACATACATAGGCTAACTGAAATAAATCATGCCTGCAATTTCCTACCTTAACCGGAAGAGGGCACTAGGGCTCCTGCACGAGCCAAACGATGCCACTTTTCCATCTTCAAACTTCAGGTTTTCCTAGCATGGCTAGCTTTTATTCTTTTCTGCACCTCCTTGTTGCCCTTTCCTTTCCTGTCCTTTCCTGTCCTTTCCTGTCCTTTCCTGTCCTTTCCTTTCCTTTCCTTTTTTTTTGCTCACCTCCAGTGATTGGAACCGAAACTGCTAACGGGAAGTTGGAGAGAAGCAGACTTCCTGGAAAAGCCCTTCCTGAAAGGCCGAACTGTTCAAGAGTGGGACAGTTTGCCTTGGGAGTTAAGAGCTCCTCCTCTGCTGGATATATTTGAGTGGGGGCCGGATGGCTCCTTGGCAGCTCTGCTCCAAGCACAACCTTGTGTCTACTGTAGTTCAGGCCAGAGATCTTGGCTGACAAGTCCCTCATCCAGCCCTCGTCTCAACCGGGAAGTGAGCTGAGACTGAGGCAGGATGTCATTCCCTCCCCAATCTCCCCTATGCAGAACTGGCAATACTGGCCTACCTCGCTGGGTTGTTGCGAGGATGACAGGAATGATACAGGCCATGTTCTGTCTCAAAGCGTGGAAAGGGCTCTGAGCATTGCTGCCGTGAGCCGGCACCCTAATGACTCATTTGACCTCTTGCGCACACACCTTCAGGAAGCAACGCTGCGACGGCCACGATGCCACTGGCCCGGGCGGCCCCACGGCTACCAATTCAGCAGGCAGCTGAGGACTAAGGAAGAATAGCTCTTAATCCTTCTGGCAAGCACCTAGAAGGAAGGCTGGAGCAAATGCCGCAGCCCCCACCCCACTTCTGTGCACCTTGATAAGCCTTAATAAGCCTGTATGTTTACCTTACCGACTTTCTATGCTTTTCTGCACCAGGTAAAAACTTTTTTATTTACCCAGTATTTTAAAGCTTTGCTGGAGGAGACTCCTGCGAGTCCCTTGGACCGCAAGGCGATCAAACCGGTCAGTCCTAGAGGAGATCAACCCTGACTGCTCTTTAGAAGGCCAGATCCTGAAGATGAAACTCAAATACTTTGGCCACCTAATGAGAAGGAAGGACTCCCTGGAGAAGAGCCTAATGCTGGGAACAATAGATGGCAAAAGAAGGAGGGGACGGCAGAGGATGAGGGGGCTGGATGGGGTCACTGGGGCGGTGGGTGTGGGCTTGAGTGGACTCCGGGGGATGTTGGAGGACAGGAAGGCCTGGAGGAGTGTTGTCCATGGGGTCACGATGGGTAGGACGTGACTTCGCAACTAGCAACAACATTTTAAAGCTTAAATAATTTTAATCTGGTTTTATTAATAATAACCTCAGTTGTATGTTATTATAGTCATGGACTGTTGTATTTATTGTTTATTTATATTATATTGTAAGCTGTCCTGAGACAACTCCGTGTATAGGATGGGATAAAAATATCCTAAATGAATGAATGTTTATTCCACTCCTTGGCCAGAAAGGCTCCTAGGATGGCTTACGCATCAGTAGAAGAAAATAATCTATGTCTGCAGGCTTACAATCAAAGGCACAGCACGCAAGGAAAGAGAAATGGGAGGGAAGAGAAAAAACAAGGTCCTTTGCCCTTCACGCAGCCTGCTGGAACGCCTTGCTGCCCTCTGGTGGTTTCGGCTGTGCCCAAACCACCAGGAAGGGTCACATTCCCTTTTAACTTGAGCGGGATGAAGGAAACCTTTTGCCGTTCATATTTGCTCCAAGAAAGGGACCTCACTGTGCAACCGGTCTCAGAGCTGATTCCCGGTGTGGGCTGAGGCTGGAGGCGGCTTGATAAGCAGCAGCCCAGATCACGTGGGGGAAGGTGCCGGTGTCTCACCTGGCCTATGGAAACATCGCAAGGCTCCAGTCCTCATGAGGGCTGTGGCTGTGTGAAAGGGCGGTTTCTGGGCTTTCCCTGAACAGCTCACAGAACCTCTGCCCTTTGCCTCGCTCCGTAATTACAGAAGGATTGCTCAGGCTCAGGGTCCGGCTGCAACGGAGGAAGCAGCCAAGCAGCCTCCAAAACTCTTAGGCCACCGCTCCCATCACCCCCACCAGCCACCACAGAGACCCATCAGCAGGACAGAGTGCCACAGCACCCTTCCACCCATGCTCCCCAGCTTCTGGTCCTGGGAGCCACATGCAGCCAGCAAGACTAGGAGCCCTGGATCACCTCCTCTGGGAACATGTCCAGCTCCTTTTAAAGCCACCCAGAACGGCGTCCATTACTACATCTTCTGACAGCAAAATTCATAATTTACCTGTGTAAAGTTTACAAAAAATGTAAAAGCGGCCAAGTCTGGTGCAAGGAAGTGTTTTTGTTAGACAACCCCGACACCCTGCAGGCGTGCCAGACTACAACACCCACCATCCCCCACCCAAGACTACAAATCCCATCTTCCTCACCTGTGCATCCAGGCGGACATATTTGGACATATTTGGGGGTGGAGGGGGACTTCCATAAAACTGGACTGCAATCGATCGAGTATCTCCAGAACGATCTGTGAGCCAATGGGTCCTGGCTGGGGAAAGTGGACGCCCGCATTCCTCATGAGGGCGTGTGGATTGAAGACACATTTCACACCCTCGCCAGGAACACTTTCGCGCATAGCTGCAGTGGATGCCTCATGACTCATTGTTGGCACGCAGAATGTTTTGAACATTTGCAGAGTCCCGTGTTAACATCATGATTTCCCCTGAATCAGTTCCTCTCCGTATTTCAGCGCCTGTGAGATTTCCCCGCAGCGAACCTTCATTCTGGAGAGAGTGCGTTGCCCCCAGAGCCGAGCCCCACCATCGAGGAAGCGGGTAGGGGGGCATGCGGCCCCTCTGGGCCACTCCGCTGGCACATCACATGCCCTAAGTGTGCCTTCTCCGACACAGCTTGGAACGGCATCTGGTCCCCGGCGGTTTGCTTACGTAGCTCTTGCTTTCTGAAACCCTCAGGGCTTCCAAGTGCTCTGCTTTGTCTGGATAATGCCAAAAGCATTTTAAGACTGAAACTCCAGTTAATGCACCGGGTGGGGGACTGGGGGGGGGGGGAGGAACCTGCCTGTGGCACCAGTGGGAAGCATCGTTGGGTCTCACCTGACCAGCTAATGCGCACCCCTCTTACTACCAGCCACGCTCCCTTTTCCCCTGTTTATTTTTGCTGTGCAATGCAAAACCCACCAAAACTGAAATCCGCTCCATTCAATTTTTTAAAAATGAATTGTGGATGTTAAACCAAATACAAGCTTGTAGCCCTGAGCATGTACAGAGAGCCTTTCCCCAGGGGAGGTGGCAAGGGCTGGATCCTTGACAACCCCTTGTCGCATGATTCTCCTCACAGCCTCTCACACCCCCAAGATACGTGGGTGCATGGTGCTTGCGCCACGTCCCCTGGAGCGGGGGGGGGGGGCGGTCCTGAATTCGCTTCCAGGACAATTTGAGCAAAGACTCCCAGCCGTGCCAGCGACCTGCAGCCACGGGACACTCATCCTCAGTCCTGAACAGACTTAAGGTGCAGTGCAATGGGGATGCTGGGAGCTGCAGGCCATTTTCTGTCTACCCATGTGCCAGGTCATGCCCTTGACGTCCTTCTGATCTCCCAGTTTGCAGTTCTGCCCACATTGATTGATTGATTGATTGATTTATATCCTGCCTTTTTCCTACAAAGGGCTCAAGGCAGCTTACATCCTCCTCCTCCATCTTATCCCCACAACAACCCTGTGAGGTAGGCTGGGCTGAGAGTCTGTGACTGGCTCAAGGTCACCCAGTTGGCTCCGTGGCTGAGTGGAGACTCGAACCCGGATCGCCTGAGGCCCAGTCCCGTGCTCTTAACCACCACACCACACTGGTGGCTCTCAACCACCACCCTCATACCCTCATGAGCCGCACATAACCCGGAAAGACACACTGAACCCAGTGCCGTGGACTGTAGCCCACGAACGCTGAGGCCAAAATCAGTCGCCTAATCTTCAGAGAACCACAGGATTCTTACTTCTCTCCTTGCTGACACCAGAATGCTTTGCAACCCTGAGCTGGCCACCTCACGATGCGGGTGCAAGGTCACGCATGACTCACCCATCTCTGCGTTGCCAAGGAGCTCAGCCCAGCCCTGCCATTGTCTTCCGCTCTGATGGGGCAATCTCTTAATCCAGTCCAGGAGCCTCGCGCACATGAGCACATGATGCCAAGCCACATGATCCTCGCTTGGGCAAATGCTTCCCATTTTGTCTTTAGAAGGCCCTGCTCCCTTTTGGGCAGCTCCCCGCCCCAGCAGCGCAATCCACATTCGCAGGCTGAGATATGGGCCACTGTCTTGGCTGAACACAGGCTGTGGCTTGTTAACCACGCGCAAGCCATGTGGTGAACCCAGGGTTAGTTGCTGGGTTGTTCGCCATGGCTTGCTGCCTTGGCCGGGTTCAGACACGATGACCCAGGGTTCAAGAACTACCCATGGCTGCGTGATGTCATGGGCCCGGTCTTAAGTTGGTCATGGGCCCATGCCTCACCTACACAAGTTGTCACGCAATGTGTGTGCACACATGTGTGCGAGAGAAATCATTTGCACCGTCCAGCCAAGACAGAGTGGCTTTCAGGGTATTTTTCTCAGACTTTTTCCAGCATTTTCCGAACCCTGAGAAAGCCAAGCATGTTGGCACAAAGTTTCACAAACTGAGGGCCATCCTTGCGAGGGTCTCCGGTTTGCCGCTACAACCGCAGTGTCAAACCGGTGGGCCATCTCCTGCTCTCTCAGTTTCCCCAGACGATCACGCACTTCCCTCTCCACCCAGCTTTCGGGGGTCTCCTGGCCTTTGTACGCCCTTCTCCACATTTTAAAAGATTGCAGGGCTTTCCTTAAGGCTTAGCTACAGGTGCCAGGTAAAATGCACAGGTGCCTTGGCCCTGCCCCTTCTGCCCTGGCTTCCACCTGCAGCTGGAATGCAGCACCCTGAGCTGCTCTGAGCTTGGCCTTGGTGCTCGGGCTGAGAGAGTTCAACCCCCAACTCCAAAGGAAAGCTTTGATGGGCCCATATGGGCCCCTGCCTTCCAAATCGGTTAGCCGTTTCGGTAAAAATACACATATTATATGTATTCAGTCAACCTGCCTTTTGATCAACAATAGTATTCAGGGATGGTTGGAAAAGAGAGAGCAGGAACAGTGTGAAGAGTGAGTCTCATGAAAGGGGGCCAGGAGGCCAAAGTGGCTTGAGTGCTGGGCTCCGAATAGCGAGGATTCCAGTTCTGGTCCCCATTTGGCCGAGCCCACTGAGGGACTCTGGGCCAGTCACCGACTCTCAGCCTAACCTACCTCACAGGGCTGTTGTTATGAGACTAGAAGAGGCGAGGGGAGAGGAAGTGTCATGTAGTGGTTAGAGTACTAGACCTGGGTGATCCATGGAGCTCACAGGGTGACTTGGGCTGGTCACAGACTCTCAGTCTAACCAACCTCACAGGGGGGTTCTTGAGAGACTAAAAATGGAGAGGAGAACTAGGTAAGCTGCCTTGGGGGTTTTTGGAAGAAGAAACGAGGCAGGATATAAACGCAATCTAATTATAGCACATGCATTAAAAACAGGCCAGTAAGCAAGACAATAACAGCCCCCATCCAATCAGAACCTACTTCTGCAGCGAGCAGATCCAGGGCCCGATTTTGGGCGTGTTTAGACAGACCAATGTTCCACAGCTCCTGGCACCGCTGGCTGGCGATGGTCTGTCCAGACTTGCATGGGATTATGTGTTCACAGCCTTTTCTGCAGCGGGCCGAGGCTTCTCAGAGTCTGCATTGTAGTTTCTGCGCAGCTCTTTCCGCTTTTGCCATCCAGGCGTCTGGGAGCTGCAGGCCATTTTTCCCGTCTGAGTGTGCACAGGATCACACCTGTCGTATCCTGTGAATTTCCTGCCCGATTATTGCAGCACAGCATTCGTACCCCTCCTTTCTTCCTTTCACAAAGAACCCAGGTATTGGACACAGTTTTCTTCCTCTCTGTTTCACTTACAACAACAGCCCTGTGAGGTAGGCTGACCGGCAGTTTGTGACTGGCCCAGAGTTGCCCACTGAGATCCATGGCTGAAGTAGGGACTAGAACTTGGATCTCACAGGCCCTGACTTCAGCACTGATGCCACATTTTCCAAACCAAAGACATTAACAGAGGGCTGAGTGCAGAACTTTCCAAAAACAGGGACCCAGTGGAGAGAAATCAAGGGTGGAAAAGAACCTTTCTTTTTTTTCCTGCGCAGTTGAGCAAGAAAAGCCATTTATAAGCATTCCTGCAGTAGTTGTCATTGCTAGCAGTAGTAATTTTATGTTTCTACTGCTCCAGCCAGTCCGCTGGGTGAGTCACGGCAATCCATGACTGTTGCTGCAACAATAACACTGGATGACGAAGAAAATAGTTTTGGAGAAGTGCTCATCTGCATTTGAAAAATCCTGTTTTTAGCTCCCGTTTCAGAACTGTGCAAGTGAGGCTTGGTGTGTCAAATTCATGATTGCACAGGTACAGCCCAGGAGGGTGCTCCTATCCCTTCCTGACCAACGTCCTTTGGTTGCCATTATTAGAGTAAAACAATCAAAATTTTAAATTCCTTGCTTTTCCTAGCTGCTGGGAAAGTGGAAATCCAACAGGAGAAGCTTTGCCCAATGTGAGAATGCCCTGATGGGAAAAGCTGTCCTTGTTGAATATTCTGCTGTTGAAGTTGCAGGAGTCATGCATGGGTTGGACTAGGACTTCGGAAATTCGTGTTCCAGTCGCTGACTCTCAGCCTAACCTACCTCACAGGGTTGTTGTGACGATATAACGGCAATCACGCAGGCCGCCTTGGGTTGCTTGCTAGTGGAACTAAGGCGGGATACCAACATCAGAATAACGAAATAAACAGCCTGGGAGGCAGAGATCCAACTGGCAAAGCCTCGCCTCCCACGAAGAGAGGGGCTGCACCTGTGGAGCATCTACCTGCCAGAGACGCCTGGACCCAGCCGGGCGCTTTGCCGCAAGCGGCGGGCGCAGGCCGGGGCGCCCCTGCTCCCCGGCCGGAGCCACCGCGGCGCTGCGAGCGGACGGGGCGGTCCCGTCCCGTCCCGTCCCGGGAAGGGCGTCGCTCGCTGCGTAAATAGGAGCGTCGCGCCCGGGCCGCCGCCACCGCCCAGAGAGAGCGAGGCTCCACGGGACCCAGCCGGGTAAGTGGGCCGGGCTGGGCCGGGGGCGCCGTCTGTCGCGGGGCTCCCTTTCTGGGGGGGGGGGGCGGGCGGAACGGGACGGGACGCTGCCCCAAACCTCTCCAAAACCGGCCCCGCGGCCCCGCAGGCTGGAGCGCCCCCGATGCAGCGGGGCGGGGTCCCTCTGCCCCCCGACACGTGTCTGCTCGGAGAGGGAGCGCCCTGCCGGGCGAGGGCCCCCCCAGGCCGCCGTGCGCCCGCCCTGCGCCGCGGGTTACGGCGGGGGTGGCCGCCCTGACCCGGCGCGCCAGCGGGGCGCGGATCCTCAGAGGAGGGGCGAAGGGAAGCGGAGGCGCGCCCGGGGTCGCCCCGAGGCGGAGCGGGGGAAGGGGGCGGGGGCCGCCGGCAGGTCTCTGCCCCAGGGAGCCTCCACCGCCGACGCGAGCGTGGGAGAGACCCGGGGGCCGCTCCTGTGCGCGCGGGGCACCGGGGAGCTGTGGGGCCTGCTGGGCTCAGCGCGCCGGCTGCTCGGGCAGGGCGAGCGCGGGGGCGGCTGCTCGTGCGCCCCGGCAGGGCAGCCCCGGCCGCTCCGAGGGAGCGGGCGGCCGGGGCACGGGAGCGCTCCTGCTGCGCGGCGGCGGCGGCCCGGGGCCCGGGGTGGGCCGCCCCCGCAGCCAGAGGGCCCGCAAACGGCGCCAGAGGCAGCGAGCCGCTGGCTTGGCCCGGGTCTGCCCAGCCCTCGCGCGCGTCCCTTCCTGCCTCGGCCCTGCGGGGGCTCGTGCCCCCGGGCCAGCCGCTGCGAGGGAGCCCGGACGGTCGCCCCGGGCGTTTGCTGGCCCCCGGCCCGTCTAGCCAAGCCCAGGCCCGCTTGTGTCCGGCGGGGTGGCGCTGGGACGGGAAGGGGCGGCGGGCCCTCCTGGGCCAGGGTGGCGCCCAGTACGGGTGCGAAGGTTGGCACGGACACCGGGACGCCCTCGGGAAGGCGGAGACGGCTGCCGTCTCCAGGTGCCCGGGGACCTGGCAGGGGTTGGACATGCCAGGGAGCGGGGACTTAGGGGAGGGTGAAGAGGAGCCTCGTCCGGCCCCTGACCCCATGATGGGCTAGAAGGGCTGCCCAGTTTGGGGCCTCCAAGGATCCAGGGGGCCGGTGCTTCTCCAGAGGGGCACACGCAGAGATGTGGTCCAGGTTACTGAAAAAGAGGGTTCTTGGAAGTAGTTGCCAAGGGTGCAATGAATCCTTTGTTCATGCTCAGAGACGTCTCTTTCAGTGGCTGTAGTAATTTGCTAGCTGCGAATTGGAAATGAAGCGCCCTTTTGCAGAGCGACTGTCGGTGCGTTGGAATGGATAAGGGGAAGCCCAGCTCCTGACTGACAGTCGGTGGTCGTGACCCCAACCTCTCCCCAACCTCTGAATGCAGCTGAGCTGCCCGCAGCCCCTCCCTCACCGGCAATGCTCTTCTCCTGCACTCACAATTGAGCGCCACTCGCTTCATTTCAGCTCTCACGTTTCTGTACCTCTGGGCAGTTTAGAAAGACTAAAAAGCTAGTAATACATTTGTAAAAGCAGAGGGGCTTGCTTATCTGGAAATGATCTGAAACGATTGACAAGAAAAAAATCAAGGCCTGATTAAAACCTCGCTGCATGTTGGCAAATGTTTGCGAGGAGCCGAAAGTCTTAACCTGATGCCGAAAGGATAAGTGATGGTACCAGAAAGGGGATAATTCCAAACATGAGGGGTCAACCCTGAGAAGATCCCAAAGGAAAAGATTCCGTTTTTTGAGGAAGGCCTTGCTCGATAAGCACAGTACATAGACAGAGCTCAGTGTTCTATCAGATATTGTGGTCCTGCATCTAGGAGACGGGGAAGCATTCTGCACATGTTCAGATGCACTTCCACAGGCTGCTGTGACTAGATGCCACCCAGCCTCTCATCACTTGATTTTCAGCATGAGGAGTCAGCACTGCATGTGAGGAAGGCTTGCATGAGTTGGGGGTGCCGTGGACTGGCGGGTGAGGCGGACTGGATGCTTTGGCAGAAGCAGTTAGTGAATGCCGGGGAATAGCAAGTTTGCTGAAAACAAAGAGTGAATTCCTGTCTTGAGCCCCCGGAAGGCCAGGGATCGGCTTTTGTTGACTATTTGAGTTTTTATGAGGGGTGATACCAGCTAAGGATTAGCCGTCCTGTTTTCGATTCAGTGAAAGCTGCTTTGCTCACAGGTTTGGGCTTGTCCCCAGCAGGCTGGATCTTGTTCCCAAAGATAAAAGATAAAATACATTCGGAGAGATCAGCTTTCTTTCCATTCTTCTAGAATTAGAGGGATGAGGGCATCTCCTCAGGCACAAAGGATCACAGAATCCTAGAACAGCAGAGTTGGAAGGGGCCAGAGGGCCTTTGGGTCTGGCCCGGACTCCCCGCTAAACCGCCCTGGCCAGATGGCTGTCCGTTTCCGCCTTGACAGGCTCCCTAGGTCACGGGTCCCATCGCTGCACTGCTCCAACAGGACGTTTTTCCTGGTGTCCAGCCAGAATCTGGCTTCCTGGAACTTGAGTCCATTATTCCATGTTCTGGACTCTTGGAGGATCGAGAAGAGACCCTGTCCTTCTCTCTCTGATAGCCTTTCAGGGGTGCTCTCCCATCCCCCTCAGTCTTCTCTTCATGAGGCTAAACATGCCCAGTTCTTTCAGCCCCTCCTCATAGGGCCTCGTCCCCAGTCCCCGGGTCACCCTCGCTAAACCCCTTCTGGCTTGCCTGCATCTTTCTTCAAGTGCGGAGCCCAGAACAGGGCACAGAACTCCAGATGAGTTCCTCGGACCAGTTCCCCGGTTTCGTTGCCTCTGCTCTGCTGACTGGGAGCCGGTCAGGATGGCTACCCTTTGCACGGGGCGTTCCGCAGTCCTTTTCCCGCAGGCAGCTCTCTAGTCCCTGAAGCCGTTCAAGAGTGCCACGCTTCCACCGGTGCAGAAGGTCTTCTAGTTCCCCCCTTTCCAGGGAGTTTCCTCGACTTTGTTTTCCGTTGCCCTCCTTTCTGCCTCGGCTCGGTGTGGCTCGTCCAGCTCCCGTACTTCCCTTTGCTGCTCTGAGAACTCCTCCTCTTCCCTGATTCCCTTGAGGGTGGATCTCAATTGATCTTGACATTGATCTTGGACAAGAAAACGAACTGCCTCTCTCAGGACCGCGGGAGGGTCTTTTCCACCCGTGGTCTCTACTCTTTGTAAAAATCGACCTTCCTGATTGCGCTGGAATGACTTGCGCTCTCTCCTGTCCTCCCTGGGGGGTCAGTAAGGGTCCAACTAGTATATCAGTGCATGTTGCAAGGGGAGAAATCATATCTGAAGCTCCATCATCTCCTGGGCAGAACTGAGCTGCTCCGGTGGCAAAGAAGTTCTTCTGAGCCATTTGCTTTAATGAGGCTTCTAAAGAGCCATTTGTCTAATTATCTCCAGTAGCTTTGCATGGTTCTGACACTAGGGGGCAGCAGAGAGGGTTCATTCATTCATTCATTCATTCATTCATTCATTCATTCATTCACTTATTTATTAGATTTATATCCCGCTTTTTTTAATCCTCTTGGCTCCTGTCTCTAATTCCCTCCCTTTTCTCTCAGCATGTGTGCTTTCTGGGATGGAAGAGAGGCACCATGCGCTGTGTCTCTGCTCATGTGCACTCCGGCACCCAGCTTGACAGACAGGTGCAAAATAGAGCTGCCAGGTTGCTGACGGGGACGGGGCGTTGTGCTCACATGACTCCAGTCCTCCGTCAGCTTCACTGGCTGCCCATTGAAGCCCGGGCCCAATTCAAGGTGTTGGTTATGACCTATAAAGCCCTAAACGGCTTGGGACCTGGTTACCTGAACGAGCGCTTACGTCTGTATATGCCCGACCGCCCCTTGAGATCTGCGGGAGAGGCCCTTCTCCGGGAGCCCTCCGTGAAGGAAATTAGGAGGGTAGGTACTCGGAGGAGGGCTTTCTCTGCGGTGGCGCCCAACCTATGGAATTCACTCCCCAAAGAGGTCCGCCTGGCACCATCGTTACTGGTTTTTCGGCGCCAGGTAAAGACCTTTTTATTTAAACATCATTTCAATTGTTAAAACATATGATCTGGCCAGGGCAACTTCTTCTTCCTTCTCCTTTCTCCTCCTATATTCTTTATTTACTTATTTTATACTGTTAATTTTAATTTTATATTATTATGCTTGTATCTCAGTGTATTTTTTGTATTTTTGTATTTAGTAGTAATTTATTATGTTCTATTGTATTTCAATGTATTTTATTGTGTTGTAAGCTGCCCCAAGGCTTCAGCAAGGGGCGGCATAGAAATGTTATAATAATAATAATAATAATAATAATAATAATAATAATAATAATAATAATAAGCAGTTCAGCCTTCTTCCCATGAGTGTAAAAGCTGCAATTTAAAAAGTAGACGTGAACTTCTTCTAAGCTGGCTCTAGTCTGCACTTTCTCCTTCTCCACCCGAATGTTGTGTTACCTTCCTTTTTTAACGTAAGGCAACTCCGCAGCAAGTCACACCAGACATTTCAACAGTTGCCAGGGGTCAAACATTCAAAACATGGGTGTGTGGTTTTGCATCTCTCTCCTCCTTGGGGACTTTCACAGGCAGCTGATTGCCCCAAATTCTTACCTTCTAAAAGCTGGGGTTTACTCCCCTTCTCTTAAAAAAACAAATCAATCTCAGAGTTGCTTTCATGGGCTGGTTATCTTTTTCTTGTGCATTAGCAGTTTTCTGTACTTAGTGCCATGCTAACTTAAGAGACATGGAAGAATAATATAAGATAATGATTCTGACCACATAAGAAGTGCCTTTTTTACCACTGAGTAAGCACAACTAATTCCCAGTGGTGAGGGCTCGGCTGGTGAAGTGTCAAATCAGGGTGGAGACCCCATGGGCTGGTTTTCTGAAAGCGTGCAAATTTTAAAAAGTTGATGTGAAACTAAAAGTTTCAAACAAAACCCTGTCAGAAATAAAAACCAGAACAACCCAGTCCTGTTGTGCTAGTTT